CTGTGAGCTGGGTGGCTCCAGCCGGGGTTGGGGAGCTTGGGGTCAGGGGGGGGCGGCTGAGGACCTCCAGCCTGGGGAGCCACAGCCGGGCAGGCAGCAGTGGTGCTGCACTAGAGCCCTAGCAGGGGGCAGGAGTTCCGCACAGGCCATGTTGGGAGGAACCTCCCCTGGTGCAGGAAATCCCCTTGATTGGGACCGGTTAGGTCCCCAGAGTGCTTGACAAGGGAGGTCCAACCTGTACTGGCTTTTACCAGCTTTTTCCAGCCTATATCCTGAAGCTGGTCCCTAGTATAAGCAGCTGTAGCTCCATGGAAATTGAAAGAATAAAACTCTGTATCTGAGCATCTACTGACACAAGGTCAGAATTTGGCCTGGGGAGTGTAAAATGGTGTAGTTTATCTGTATCTCTGGCTTCATGAGAAACTGCATGGAATTTGGACATAGTGAGGTCATACTGCTAGAGATGTATGGCAGCAGACAGCTGAAGCAAATTGCACCCACCTGCACCAGGCAGTTAAGGGCAGAATAATGAATAATCATCTCTCTGTTTTCCCTTATCTAGCACTGGCATGATGCCTGAGAGGCACACAGAGAATATTTGCTTCTTCAGATGTTTTTAGGTTGCATCTGCAGACTACGGATTAGGTGGGGGGTTGAAAAATTGTTGCTATTCTGTATACTAAGAGCATGTTCTCAAGACTAACCTGTCTTGAGCCCTGTTATATCTGACGTGCCACAATGTAACTAGGGGTTCCTATAGTAACTTTACCATTTGATATACTCGTTATTGAAGAAGAAGAAAACTCCATGGGTCTGATCATTTCTGGTATAAGTCAACTGAAGGAGTGAAGTCAACTGAAGGGAGTGGGTGAATTTGTCTGTGTGCTTCTTTTGAGCTTGTCACACTTAAATAATAAAAAGTACATGTGGCAGGATCATGAATGAGCCCGATTATGCTCTGGGCTATGCTGGTGTAAATTTTGATGTGAATGACAACAGATTCTAGATCTTACCATATCTATTTGGCTCTCTCCTGCTTTGCTCTGAAAATTTATTTTCTTCTGTTCTTGTCTTGCTTGCTTTTACTTTCCTATTGCCATTGCCTGTCTTGTCTCTTACCCAGAAATCTGCTTCTGCTGCCAGAATTGTTGTTTTCTTCTCCCCACTTGGTCTCATTTATTTTTCATTTTTCAGAGAAGAAGGCTGACAAAATGAGCATTTTTTTGCTTGTTCTCAAAAGGTCACTCAGTGAAGGAAACAATACTTTGTAATGCAGCTCACAGAGAGTCCTGCTGGGAATTGTACTTTTCAACTGTCTTCACTGTATGCCTTTAATTGTCTGTCTCTTTTTACAATGTAAGAAGTTGAGAACAGGGTTAGGCCATCACAGGCCACATGCCTGCCCTTGTTTTATTTACAGTAGAACAGAATGTAAAGGGTTGTCAGCTTGTTCTTCATTGACATCACTATTGTGATGTGACTCTCCTCCCTTCTTGGGGAAAAATGATTCACATAACTGGTTGTTCATTAAATTAGTGATTGGGAAATGGAGGTTGTACTGTATCTTAGTTCTCTTTCATTGTTGTCTTCCCATATCCTCTGCCCTATCTTTTATTGCAAATCTAGGTCACAGGTTTTCAAAAGTGACTCGTGGTTTCAGGGATTCAATTTGAGACCCATCAAAGAGATCTGTTTTTCAGAGTGTGGCTGCTTGGAACATTCTGAAAATCAAGCTTAAGGAATCTTGACTGAGGCATCCCAAAATGGAGGTACCTAAAATAAATACTGTAGCCTCATTTGAAAATTTTGGACTAGGGATCTCGTAAACTAAGTTATACAGAGCATAGACTCTGTCATCACCTCCTTTCCCCTTTCACATTGTAGGCACATTTCTTCTCATACCTTTTATACCCCTTAATCTCAAAGGGCCAAATAGAGGTACCTGTTGTGTTGAATACAGGCAGTCCCCGGGTTACGTACAAGATAGGGACTGTAGGTTTGTTCTTAAGTTGAATCTGTATGTAAGTCGGAACTGGCATTCAGATTCAGCCGCTGCTGAAACTGATCAGTTTCAACAGCGGCTGAATCTGGACACCAGTTCTGACTTACATACAGATTCAACTTAAGAACAAACCTACAGTCCCTATCTTGTACGTAACCCGGGGACTGCCTGTATTCAACACAACAGGTACCTCTATTTGGCCCTTTGAGATTAAGGGGTATAAAAGGTATGAGAAGAAATGTGCCTACAATGTGAAAGGGGAAAGGAGGTGATGACAGAGTCTATGCTCTGTATAACTTAGTTTACGAGATCCCTAGTCCAAAATTTTCAAATGAGGCTACAGTATTTATTTTAGGTACCTCCATTTTGGGATGCCTCAGTCAAGATTCCTTAAGCTTGATTTTCAGAATGTTCCAAGCAGCCACACTCTGAAAAACAGATCTCTTTGATGGGTCTCAAATTGAATCCCTGAAACCACGAGTCACTTTTGAAAACCTGTGACCTAGATTTGCAATAAAAGATAGGGCAGAGGATATGCGGCGGGACCAGGCGTCCCGCCGCTCCAGTCCTCCGGGGCGAGAAAATCCCCGTTCGTAACTGCGGATCCGACATAAGTCGGATCCCCGTAACTCGGGGACTGCCTGTACATGCAAGCAGCAGGAACAGAGGTCATCTGGGCCTATGCTTCCTCCTCCGCTTAACTCACTATTTTGCCTTTTCATAAAGCACATAGAAGCTTGTGGGATTAGCCCCTTTATTTGTAGCATATTTTGATCAATTGTCATTGTAGTTTTAAATGTAAGAGAACTGGTTTTGTTACTGAGTAACAGTTGCTTTTCCATATGGAGGTGAAAAAAGCATCTCCATGCAGGCATTTCCTGATACTTCTGTATG